GAGCTACACAGACCAAGATTTAAGCCTTTTTTCCCCCCAACCCATTCTGAAACAAAGTTCCCTGCTCAAGATCCCTTCTTTGAAGAACTAAAGTAGTAGAGAGGAAATCACATTTCAAGATCATTCTTTCTAAAAATCTCCAGTATGACAAGGGAGTTTACCAGAACTTTAGATGGGATGGTCTTGAAATATCTTCCTCAACACACACAGCTGTTAACATCAACCATCATTTTAACAAAGTATCCTGGGAAACTAAAAGATACAACTTATCAAATTCCATTTCAACTAAAGTCCATTTCAACTACATCATGGCTGAGGAGAAAAATATCTGCTTTCTGCTTTCACAAGAGAAACCTTGATTGTACACACTCCAAAACAATTTTTGTTTTACCTTTCATTTGCTGCTGTGGATAGTGACAGCAAGAATTTTTAAAAGTAATCCTCAGGTTTTTAAAAAATTAATGGTTGTCAGCAAGAGTCCATCTCCCTCGACTACCAAAAGAAAAAGCATCCCTCTCTCTGATTTATATTTATTAAGTCAGGAATTTAGCAGGAATTCACAGACAGCCTGAGCAGACATTACTTGGATAATTAGTGATGAAATTTAAAATTATGAGATTTTTGAAATAAAATCAATATGAAATAGAACCATGACAATATAAATCCCCACCCCATGCTATATGGAAAACATTATGTAGTTAACTAAGACTCTAGGTTTAATTTTTATTTCTAACTTTTTTTGTAAAACTTAAAACTATAGTCAGAATAAAGGACATTCAGTAGGAACAGCAACCTCTATCCAGCAAGTTCATGTGACTTCTGAAAAGGTCTTGTGTAAATTGGCACACCAGATGAAAAATTTTGTGACAGAGAACTACAGCACAAATTAGGCTGAAAGGAATGTGGCTGGGGAGGTCATGCAGTCTGTGCTCCTGCACAAAGCAGCTCTGGTTCATCCAGCTTTGTTTTGAGTATTTCCAAGCATAAGGATTGTGCAACTCACTTGGGCAAACTGTTCCAATATGTGACTATTTTTATAATAAAGGAAAAAAAAATTCATATAGGTGACTGGAATTTCCCATGTTCCAACTTGTACCCACTGCAACTCCAAAGAGAAGCTGGCTCCATCTTATCACATAATTGCAGTCCTTGCCATCAAAATTTAATACCATGTCTCCTGCTTAAATACAGCCATCTTTATGTTACCTTGAAATGAAATTCATGTGAGAAAGCAGAGCTACAGAATAATCTCTATTTTTCATGTTCACAGTGTACAGGAGTACTTGTCAGAGAACAATTAGCTACAGGTTTAATTTGTAGCACAGAAGCTTTAGATGGCATGTTAAGAAAAAGGGTTTTTAATTATAAGGTCTATGAAATTGGAAGAACAGTTGTCTGATGAGGTTGGAGAGATCTTAAGAGATCTCCATCCCTGGAGGTCTTTGAGAACAAGTCAGACAAACTTTTATCAGGTATGACATAGATACAGAGATCTCACCTTGGGGCACAGGAGCAGACTTGATAATCTCTGCTGTACTTTCTGCCCCTGAGTTTTCTATGAAGGCTGAGACTGTCTCAGGTTAATTCAGGCTTGAGCCTATGGGCCAAATGATAGAAAGCTTGATGCTACTGAAATACTGTAATCTAAATGATACATTTGGTGCATCAAATTTGCACTTAATTTTTGGAACTTTTGGGTTTGCCTGAGAGAGCCCACATGGTGGTTTCTGTGCTGAGACATTTAAAAATTCCTTCCTAATGGGTTATGGAAGAATGGGCTATTTTCACCATGCACTGCTACAGGAAGGATATCCAGGGACCATAAAATACCCTTTTTCAGGGAGCACTGTTGCAATATTCCCTTTGAAAACAAAATCCCTGCAGCACTAAAAGTGAGGTTAATGATATACTAATGTGTACTGGACACTCTGCAGTGCAGATACTTAGCACACTAAACATGAAGTTCAAGAGCTGTTTACATCCACACAACCATCTGTTCAACAATCACGTTGCTCAAATGGAGCATTTATTCAGAAAGGACACCCTTTATAGCCCTAATTCAAAGAAATAGAAGCAACACAAAATCTGTAAATAAATATTGGGAGGAGGCAGTGTACTTTCTGCAATCAATTAACAGCAAATACATTTCAGTAATATTTTCTTGGAAGTGATCAAGTGATGACTGATAAAGTCCCCCTGGCACACAGAAAAATTAGGCATAATATTTTTAAAAGGTGCATATTAAAATATCTTTTCCTCTCTTTATGAGAGAAGTATTTCATTGTAGGGAAAAAATAACAGGGGTAAAGTACAGAAGTTGTGTCTAAAGTGCTAAGAAGAGTCAAAGAACTACCACAGCTCGGCACAACTCCCAGCTCCACTCACCCAGTCAGTTATAATTTAGACATTCGACCTTTGCTGCTAAATCAGAAACTTACAGCTCCTCTGCCATTTCACCCCTGGCCTCCTGCTAAGACGGCCAATGAATATACAAAATCACAGCATGGAAGTCTATCAGAAAGAGGATGGCTCGTTAACTTGGCGACAGCTAACACAGACACAACATGGTTTCACTTTTAGTCACCATCCACCTGAAATGCTCAGGTAGAAGCACAGCTCAGAGACATGGACATGCCTGGAAACCTGCCCAGAACTGGTCCACGTACAGATTCAGACATTCTTCACAAAGCACACTTTCCATAACATTCTTTTTGTCAGCCTACAGTAACCTTGATGATTGGATGAAAAACCTGAAGCTTCTTTTAATAACACAGATCATACCTTTCACAGAATCATTTAGACTGGAAAAGACTCTTAAGATTATCCCAAGACCACAATTAAGACAGCGTCAGTTCTCCCCAGCTGCTCAGGTGCAGTCTGGTGATCTTTGCAGAAGACAGTTTATGTTGGCCAACGTGGTGTTACCAAATTTCAAGTGTGTACTGGAGACAGCAGTGAAAGGAAAAACCAGAAAAATATTTTCCTCAGAAACTGTAGCAAGGGGAGCATCAGAAAACATACTTTCTGTACTTCCTTTGAATAAGTTTTTACTATCTAGTTGTATTTTCTGTGCACACAACATAAAAAGTTAGACTGCTCAAAGTACTCACTACCATGAATATGAAACTGTTGAAATGTATCACAAAGTTTTTGATCAGCTTAAGAATGAGGGAAGTTAAGACAGGAAGCTCTCAAAACAGCTGAAGAGCCAGCACATTCTACTAGTATGAAAACCACACCTTCTTCCTAAAGCCTGCACAAACACCAGGTATTATTTCAAAGATAATGTCATGGTTTCAGGCTTTTTAACAAAGGTCGAAAAGAATATAATTAGATAAAAAGTTATGGCACGACAAAGACATCAGATACCTGGAAAAAACTTTACAGCACTAATTTTGACACCAGCTTTTAGTACAGTGTTATAAAAACACAAGTTCTGAGTAAAAGACTACTGAAACAGATTCAGCAGGAAAGATTCGGAATTGTGGCTTTTGTAAATTAAAAAAAAATTAATCAGATTTAGTTTTTGGCAAGAAAGAAATACTCTTAGGTAACTTAAACTTGCTATGCTTGCTTTGCTCCACCTACACATCCTGCTTTTTCCTTGAGACCTAGCCCTATTCATACTTCCTTTTAAGCAACTCCTAGTGCTGAATCCTGAATGCTTCCCCTTTCTTAGTCCTGTCCTGGGGTGGACCCTCCTCCAAAGGAAAATCTGGTTTGGAATTTTTTACTGATCTGACACAGAAAAATGAGATTTTTGAAAAATGGGAAATTTTTCTTCTATTATAGTAGATAGAGTCTTCTCTGGTTTATCAGAAACCTTTCTCCCTGCATTCCAAGGCATATCATCAATGATTTATGGTAATAGGAAGCCATGCAGTGGCATTTTCCAGGAGCTCTGAACTGACAAGAGTCAGCTTAAATCCACCTGGCTTCTGAACAAACATTGTTTCCCACCTTGCTGTAGACAAACCACAGTCAAAATGGAATTTCATTGAGCAAATAACCCTGCTGGGGCCTTTGCAGAGGTAAATGCAGTGTCCAACTTTGGTGAAGCCCAAACAAATGCTCCCTAGATACTGAGGATACAACTACACAGGAACTGTGAGCCCTAGAAAAGGTAGCACTTCCTTTTCCACACACCATGAGTGCTCAATAAATGCAACATGTGATAGAAATAAGTGAACATGTGATAAAGTGTATTTAGAAGCCTACAAATAAATCTGGCAGACTAGCCAAGCCCCTTTTGGAGAAGCAGCCACCATATTACCTGCACTGCACTGAGAACACTCAGAAAAGGAACAGAAATGCAAGCAAAATTACTTAGTGACTGGATCACTAGAACAGCTCAGTGCAGGGCAATATATGACAGCTGTTATCACCTGTCCTGTACATAATTATTTAGGATATTTGGGGGAATCTAAGCACAACTTTAGAGGTGTATCTAGGGCCACAGGAGAAAGCCCTGCTTACAGAGGAACATGTCCTTTTCTTGCAGTACAACACTTACAGGACAAGACAAGCATGATTAACAGGGTAACTGGTGAGGAGCACCCAATGTACAGACAAATCTCAGCACAAAGATCTTACAGTGCTCTGGCTGGCAACCAGCAGACCTTCGGGCAAGCACAGACTTGCTGGTTAGATATTCGTAAATTATGCAGAAATGGTGCTTTAGAGCAATGCCTGAAAACATTGTTTGATAAAAATATTAGTTTTCTTCTTCACTGGCAAACTGCATGTGGAATTAGCACTGAAGCCCCAGTTCTTTCCTGTAAGTTAAACATGTGGATTTTGTTTAAAGAATGTGAAGTACAAATAGTTTTTCTGTCTTCAGCATATCTATCAGAACCCTGGAATAGTGGTCCCTAACCCAGAATGTGGCAATCAGGTGCCACACTGCAGTACAGGAGTGCATCCAACATAAAAATCCTAACAGTCACAAGCAGAGGTGGCAGGTTTTACCTAAAATAAATATTAGTCAATAAAAATCTTACCTTCAAAAGTGCAGGCAGAGTTGTGCTTTCCTTTTGGCTGCTCTTTGAATTTATGGCTGCGCTCCCTTTGTTTTCAGAACTGAAAAACAAAAATATTTTGTAACGTTGAGTATTTGCATTATTTAAATCCTCTCAAGAGCCAACACATTCAATTTAAACACAAGAGAGCTTTAACTTAGAAGGACAGAAAAACATATTTCCCAAACTGTAGTACATACTCTGCAGATACTGTAACAGAAAAAACCAAGCCCCAAAAAACTGAAGACAGAACCACAATGGCTTTTTCACCTCATGCAGAAGTTTTTGAACTCACACATTCAGAAACAGCACACAGCATTTCAGCTCTTCCAGCTGAAAAGTAACAAGATTTCCATGCCTGTGTATTATTTTTCAACTGTAATTGAACAATGATCTCCCACAGCAGCACCCATTGCCACAGGACTAGCTGGCACACCTGGCAGCTCCAAGGCACACCCCATTCTAAGGCTTGTGAGCAAGAGGAATGTACTCCTGGCAGATGGAATCATCCCAAATCACAGCCACCACATTGGACAGTTCTCCACTGAACATGCCCAATAGGCCATGCAAATGCAGAAGGAATTTTAGAAAGGGGACAACAGGTATGTGTTTATCACCAAGGCAGTGTGTGCTGTTTCATTTTAAAAGTCAGAAGCCAAAAATCACATGTGTCCTTAGGGGGAAATTCACCAAATTAATTCAAATTTTCTTGAGAGTTCATCTTTGGAATGAGGGAACCAACTCCCTGCCCTCAATCCCAGTTCTTAGAACAATCCTTACACAAAATCCAGCGGAGAATATTTTATTAAAAAATCTTTATGCTACAACCAATTTAAAAGCTAAAACACTATCAAGGAAAACATTATGTGATGTTAATGATAGACATCAGTTCCTGCATTGTGTACCATTACATGAAGAAAAATAACTTTGTGCTAACATATCATATGAGTAAGTATTTAAGTTAATTAATAATCACTTTGAATATCCTTCTTCACCAGTCTTAAACATTTAACTTTGGTATTGAAAACTGCACAAGACCTCATTTCTGAACTCGTGTGAAGATATGAACTGAAAGCTCTTAAATAAAAAAAAAAAACCCATTATTAGCCGTTTGGTGAAATTCTGCCAGGATTTGGAGAAGGAATTAAGGTGCTGATGTACTCCTACTGCTCCTGACTGTAAACCACAGGTAAGCACATCTCAGTAACACTCCCAAAATGAAAGGTTTTCTTCCTATTGCAGATTAGGCATCTGCATCCAGTATACAGTGATATACACACAAAATGCAAAAACCACTCTAAATGTAAGTTTCCTTCTCAGGTGCTCAGAAACATCATTCCCTGAACAAAAATGACAGTAGAACTCTCCTGCTATTAAGTTTTTCAAGATCTTTCACATCTTTTCAGATGCATCAAAAGAAAAACTTCTTCCTCCCGTTTAGAGATCATCTCCAAGTCCAAAACCCTGTACTTTCACATCACCTTAGGTAATCTCCCATAATGCATTCATAAACACAAAGATGCTTTTTCAGGGACAGCATCAGACTGAAAGTCTTGGCTGTTCTTTGCCTGGAAGACTGAGCAGATGAATGAATATTCTGACCTATTAACTTCTTCTGCTGCTAATGTGTTTCATGAAGGAGATGTCACAATCACTCTGGGCAGTCTGGTACACTAATAAAAGTGTTTCTCTGTACACTACTTATTTTCTCTCTCCTAGTTTTTGTTTTGTTGTTGGTTTTAAAAAAAAACACCCCTCTCAGATCTATGTGGTTTTTCCTGATGTTGATACATTTGACATGAACAAGAATTCCCGGAACTTGAGAGTGGAATAATGAGGTTGATGTCTACCAGACATTCCTCCTAAGTTCAGTGTATCACTCTTTATGGAAATGGTCTGCAGAGCACAAATGCAATCCTTGCTTTTATTAAGTCCTGCCAGCATACTTTACACCAGTGTTGAATTATTGCATCACTTTGTTTGCTCATATTCTTCCCTTTATATCATGTGGTTTTTTCCCCCTGACTTTTTTTCATTTTCCTACTTCTTGTTTGTATTTGAAATACATGTCTGAATTACTTTCTTCTAGCTAGTCATAGAAATACCATAGCATACATACCAAAACTGAAAGAATGTAATGCAGCAGATAAGCATCTTAAAATCAACAAGTCAAAAAAAAAGTATCAAAACTTTCCACCATAAAATAACCCTAACTCTGGAAGCATTTCCCCACACCCTTTCACGGTTTATATTCTAGCGTTTCTACATTCTTTAACCTTTTGCTTTAGGGTGTAGTTCCTCAAACATGCTGACTTTGTCAGCAGAACCAGCTTTAGAAATCTCTACTCCTTCCTCCTCAACCTCAGTTATCTCTACATCCTTAACTGAGCCAAGAAGGGCTCTCAGTAGGGCGACAATTTTCGATAAAATCAAGAGGTGGGCAGAAGTTTCCTAGAGGAAAAATCCAGCCTGTGATCCAGTTTACAGTGCAGTGATTTCCAACAGTGCAGTGAAGGGGCAATAAATGTCACTCAGCAGGAACAGGAAGGACAAACCACTGCCCCTCACATCACAGAGGCTGCTTGGGGTGAACCTCTTCACAGGGCCCAGTTCTAAATGGATCTCTGAAACCAAATGGTTTGAGTTTTACAGCACAAAACCTTCTTTGCTGCACAAAGGCCTCGTGGGTTGTTTAGGATAAAATGGTTTTGTTTCTCTCAAAGAGGCAAGGTTACCTTTTATAGCCTAAACACCACAGACACAGGGGCTGAGATGCTCAGTGCCTGGGACTGGAGAACCTGCTGGCTACTGCTCATTTCATTCACACAATGCAATTCATCAATCCCCACAACTCCCTCTTTAGGGTTTCCTTCTTCTCATCACTGCATCCACAGCATCACTGTGACCCAGGCTACAACATATGTATTTATCAAGTCTGGCTCCACAAAGTTCTAGAGCAGTGGAAAAGCTGGAGCATGTTTTTCTGGAGCACTTTGCCATTGCAGGAACCACCAATGTTTTCTCTAGCTGAGCACATCTAAAGCTAGGCTTGTGCTTAACCACCCACCTCTCAGGAGAGCATTTCACACTGGACCAGTCAGGAAGATGAATTAATCTTCAACTCTGCTTCACAAACTACTGTTGTTACATTATACACCCAGAAATAGGCCTCTACTAACCCATCAATCAACTCATCTTTGCTTTCAAGAAGAACAAAGTATGGTCTTAGGAAGAAAGAAAACATCTCTACCAACTTGCTTCCATGGGCTTCTTACCTATCTTACCTTGCAATCACTTACAAACTTTCACAACCACTTGATTACTTACTTAGACAGATACTACTCAAATTGTATAGATTTAAAGGGAGGGGAAAAAAAGGCAGGGAAATACTGAATAAAAAGACACTGTCACAATTAATTCTAGAAACTCAGACATGTAATCTACTGCCCTTCTGTTGCTATTTCTGCTAGACATTGCTTTTTCTTTTCCGTATTAGTGCCTCCAACAGAGATAGATTAATCTTTAGCGAAGGTTTAGAGGAAGGTTAGAGGGATTTCTTCTCATCTGTCTTGCTGTTCTTTCTACTGTCTTGCCAGCATGCCTAACCTGATTAGCATCACTCTTATTCTCTAACTACTCAAGATTAAATTTAACTTACAGAATGGTATCTTTTGTATCTTCTCAACAAACCTTTCTTTGTGCCATTTCCTATTGCTTTTTGTTCCTCTGCTGCTGCCTCTGTTTTGACCTTTCTGTATTACTTGGACAGGTGGTGTCTGAACCAGAAGCAGGTTTGTGGTCCAAGCTTTTAATCATTACACTTTGGAAAGAGAGGTTAGAGAGGTTAGAGATTCTTATGAGTGAGACATGCTCAAATTCTGCATTGCTGCTCACACAAAGAGAGATTACATGAGGGATTACAGTCGACAACAACAAAAAAAGCAATTTAATGGAGCATATTTAAGTACACGGCTTTCAAGGTCTTTTGCAACTGCCTCTAAAAACAGAACAAGACAATTACAAACAATCACATCTTCAAAAGGCCCTCACAGCATTTCTGTATGGTGTGAGAAGTCTGCTTCCTCCACCCTTGTCCTTCATAACAATCCCTCAGAACTTGCAAATTAAAAGCCCATCCCCTTCTTCCTTTATTAATCCACCCCACCCATGTTATGCATGCAGCAGATTGTGAATGTGTTGTGACAGATAAAAAAAAATAAGCTACGGGAAACATGCAAGGAATAAAGCACAAACACACAAGTTTGGATGAGACTGACCACACGCAGAATTCTTCAAACTGAAAGTAATTGCTGTGATATTTTAGGTTCCTTTTATGAGCAGAAGGCAGAGACTGCCTGTTGCTGTTTGGGAAGGGGGAAATTAATGGGCACTCCCTTAAGGAAATGGGACAGCTGACTAAAGCTGAACTTCAGCACCACCACAGCACTTGTGGACGTTGACATGTGGATTTACTTCTCCCAGGGCTGTGAATCAAATCTCTTCCAATGCAGCAGCCCCAGCATTTATTTTTCATGCAGTCAACATGTAACCAGCCAGCATTTTGCCATCTTCTCTCTCTTGGGGACAGATGACTCCCTGAGTAGCCAAAGCCACCCTGCTACCATGTAAGGCTGGCATTGTTTGCTTTTAACTGGTTCTCTCAGATTAACTCAGTAACCATTCATTGTGATGACTCATAACGGTAAGAGAATAAGCAATAAACCCAACCTCAAAGATGCCTTTTAGGTTTACTTTCTTTATTTCAGCATTCTGGGGTGTCACCCCAGCTCCTGACCCCTGCCTCACCTTTCTCTCTCAACAAACCTAACATCTCTCTCTGGGAAATACTCCTCATGTGGTTCTGATGTCATGACTTCTTTCCAATTTTACTTTGTGCCAACAGTTACACGTGCAGTGCTGACCTTCCAGAAAGATATTTCAATGGAGAAACATTGAAAACAAGGATTTCATCACCTAGTACTTTAAAATCTATTTGTGCAAGAGCCTCCCTGAAGAATGTAAATGAGTGGAAATCCACAAGTCTAATAATACCATCAAATA